ATTTAGATTCTCCACTTGATGTCAAAAACTGGCAGTCAAACTACTCACAGGTTTTGATGCACAGGAAGTGAGGAAGATACGGGCAGCACGGTGGCTCAGTGGTTAGCACTGCTGCCACACAGTGCCAAGGACCCAGGTTTGATTCTAGCCTCGGGCGACTGTCTGTGTGGAGTTTGCACATTCTCCCCATGTCTGTGTGGGTTTCCTCTGGGTGCTCCGGTTTACTCCCACGGTCCAAAGATGTGCAGGTTAGGGTGGAATGGCCGTGCGAAATTGCCCCCATAGTGTCCAGGGATGTACAGGCTAGGTGGGTTACTCATGGTACAAACCCTTTGCATGGTTACGGGGATGGGGTGGGATGCTGTTTGGAGGGTTGGTACGGGCCGAATGGCCTCTCACTGCACCATATGGATTCTATGTTGCTCGTGATTGTCTGAAGGTGAGAGCTCCTTTGATTGGATAGTAGTGCTGTGGGTTAGGTGAGTCACCCCAGTGGGCACAACGCCATCCACTCTGTTCCCCCATCTGCAGTTGGCTTCCTGTACTCTGCCAAGCTGGCTTCCAAGTGACTCCTGCCCACTGACGCCGAGCCCTCTCTTGGAGCCAGACTGGGACTGTCCTCCTATGAGTGAATGCAGGAGAATGGAACCAAGAATGGCTTCTCTTCCTGATGCCGCACAGTCATCTCTGGTGTCCCACCAAGGAGTGATCCTTATCCCTGCCCTCTTCCTCATCCACCTGATGCTCTGTGGGTGATGCCATCTCCGAGGGCTCATGTGGCATGTCCAACCCCTCCTGTTCAATTTGCAGAGATGACGTCAAATGGAAATATCAGGAAGATGGAGCTATTGTCTTCCGATGCCTTCAAACTCTCCATTTGTTTGACACTGAATCCTGGGTCTCTCTCTGCATAACTGTCTGAGATTCACAACCCTGGCCCTACATTTAGTCCTGAAATGAGCTTCCAATCTCATAAACTCTCTGTCAGTTTCCTGCTTGGGCCATAAGAGTTTCAGCAGGCCATTCAGTCCATCGAGTCTGCTTCGCTATTCAATGAGATCATGGTTGATTTGATAATCCTCAAATCCATTGTGCTGCCTTATCTGTATAATCCTTCCCTTACTGATTAAAAATCGATCTATAGAATCCTCACAGTGCAGATAGAGGCCATTTGGCCCAACAAGTCTGCATCAACCCTCTGTACAGCATTCTATCTCAGCCTTGAATATATTTGATGACCCAGCCTTGACAGCTCTCTGTGGCATAGAGTTCCACAGATTCACTACCTGCCTCTTTCTATTTCTGTAACTTCGCCTGACTCCATGCCTCGTGGCTCAAACTTATCAGCTGCCGAAGCCCTCGCCCATGTTATCTCTGGACTAGCCTATCCCAATGCATTCCAATCCAATCTCCCAGCTGCATTAGCTGTAAGGATCAGCATGTACAATAAGCTGCTGCTGAGTGACCCAATGCTCACCAAATGCAGTGCATTCCCTGAGCACCCCCTGTGCTCTGACCCACACCGGTTCCCGGTCGAGCAACATCCTGACTGTAAAACTCTCATCCTTGTTTTCAAATCCCTCTGTGGCCTCTCCCATCCCCAACCCCGTAGTCTTGTCCAGCCCCGCGACCCTCTGAAATATCGGAGAGTATCTGATATTAGCCTTTCCTGCCTCTTGGAATTTTCATCTCTCAGCCTTCAGGTGCCCTGCGTTCAAAGCTCTGGAATCCACCCCAAAAATCTCCCTGCCCCTCTCCCACCCCTCGCTGCTGCCCCAAGTCTCCCACGTATCAAATAATTTGCCAGCACACTGGCAGAGCGCCTGTGGGAGGTTTCCCTGCATCAGAGGCGCTACATCAATGCATGTTATACTTGCTGAGGGCACTCGATTGACACCCATGGCAATCAGAGAAGGGACAATGATTGCTGGCACCCAAGGGTCGCCCAGTGGCTGAGAAGCAAAATTTAGAGGGATGCAATAGCCTTGTGGTATTATCACTAGACTAAAGGTAAATTCTTCATAGTCCCAGTGTCTCATTAGAGAAAGACAACCAGTGGTGGTTTAATCTGAGGGTCACCACAACCTCAGGTGAGAGAAATAATTGAAAAGGAGAGGTCTTTATGGTAACTTCAGCCAGTGCATGGATTGAACCCACGTCACTCTGCGTTGCAAACTGGCCAACTAGCCTCGTGGTATGCTGTCAATCCAGAAGCCCAGGCAATGTTATGGGGACCTGGGTTCAAATCTTACCACAGCAGATGGTGAAATTTGAATTCAGTTTAAAAAAAACAATCTGCAAATTAAAAGTCTAATGATGACCATGAAACTGTTGTGAGGAAAACCCATCTGGCCTCTTCTGACTCTGTTTTGATTTATCCCCCTCCCTCTCCGTCACTTCTGATGGTCTGAATTGGCCTTAATAGGCTTTGCACATAAATTAATCAATTGGACAACACAGATGATTTACTGAAGAAGCGTCCCGACCTAAAACATCAGCTTTCGACACGGTGGCACAGTGGTTAGCACTGCTGCCTCACAGCGCCAGGGACCTGGGTTCGATTCCAGCCTCGGGCGACTGTCTGTGTGGAGTTTGCACATTCTCCCCGTGTCTGTGTGGGTTTTCTCCGGGTGCTCCGGTTTCCTCCCACAGTCCAAAGATGTGCAGATTGGGCATGCTAAATTGCCCGCAGTGTTCAGGGAGGTAGAGGATGTATATTAGGTGGGTCATAGGGGGACGGACCTGGGTGGGATGCTCTGAGGTTCGGTGTGGACTTGTTGGGCCGAAGGGCCTGTTTCCACACTGTAGGGATTCTAATTCCTGTTCCTTTGATGCTGCCTGGCCTGCTGTGTTCCTCCAGCTTCACACTTTGTTTTTTTTCTATTCATTTGTGGGATGTGGGTATTGCTGCCTGGGCCAGCATTTATTGCCCGTCCCTAGTTGCCCCTTGAGAAGGTGGTGGTGAGCTGCCTTCCTGAACCGCTGCAGTCCACCTGCTGTGGGTTGACCCACAATGCCCTTAGGGAGGGAATTCCAGGATTTTGACTCAGCGACACTGAAGGAACGGCGATATATGTCCAAGTCAGGATGGTGAGTGACTAAGAGGGGAACTTGCAAGGGATGGTGTTCCCATATATCTGATACCCTTGTCCTTCTAGATGGAAGTGGTCATGTGTTTGGAAGGTGCTGTCTGAGGATCTTTGGTGATCTTTTGTTATCTATGATTTACGAGGGGTGGTTAATAGATGAAACAAAATACCACAGGCTATTTGGAGATAGGGACAAAAGTTGTTTGGTTGTGTGTAAGTGTGCCTTCGGATATAAAAGACAAAAACACCCATCTGGTTCACTAATGCCCTTTGGGGTGGGGGGAGGTCTGCCATCCTTACCTGCTCTGGCCTACACATGATTCCAGACTCACTGTTCTTATCTGGGAGACAATGGCCTAGTGGTATTATTGCTGGACTGCTAATCCAGAGACCCAGATAACGTTCTGGGGACCTGGGTTTGAATCCTGCCATGGCAGATGGTGGAATTTGAATTCAATAAAATATCTGGAATTAAGAGTCTAATGATGACCATGAATCGATTGGTGGAAAAACCCATCTGGTTCCCTAATGCCCTTTAGGGAAGGAATCTTCCATCCTTACCTGGTCCGGCCTACATGTGATTCCAAACCCACAGCAATGGGGTTGACTCTGAACTGCCCTCTGGGCAATTAGGAATGGGCAATAAATACCCCCATCTCAGGAATGAATTAAAATCAGTTTTACCCCACTCCCTGGGGCATCAGAGAGTCAGTATCTTCAGGACAGAGTGAAGTGGAGGGAAGGGAATGAAGGAGAATGATGGGGGTGTGGGAGCAGGGGGAGAGAAGGATAGAATGACTGAATAAATGAAATGCTGGGAGTTGGGAAGAGAACTTTGTCGGGGTGGGTGGTAATGATACTCAAATAGTAACAGCTGAGGAGGTAGTGATTCTCACATGCCATTGGCTGGGGCTAATGATTCTCACAGGGCATTGGCTGGGGAGGGGGAGTGTGTAATGATACTTCAATGGTATTGGCTAGGGCTAACGATACTTAGTCTCTGTAGGTATGAGGCTGGAAAAGCACAGCAGGTCAGACAGCATTCGAGGAGCAGGAAACTCAATGTTTCGGGCCAAAACCCGCTAATGATACCTGAGTGACATTGGCTACGGTTGTAATGACACTCAAAGGGCATTGACTGGGGTGCAGGGGCAGTGTAATGATACTCACCTGGCATTGGCTGGGGGCAGTGATATTCAAATGGGATTGGTTGAGGGAAATAATATTCAAATTTCATTGGCTCGGGGTTAATGATACTCAAATGGC